AGTGGAAGTTATTTAAAGGTTATTTAAAAAAAAAAAAAAAAATAAGGAGTGCATAGATTTTGAGAATTTGGGGTTTGGAGTGTTGTGGTTGTATATTGAAAAACAACTCTTAAATTATATAAAGGATTTAGATTAGTTCTATTGCTAGTGGAATTTGTAGCCCATTGACTTTTCTTATATAAAAGGAGGGAGTTAAGTAGGTTGAAGGAGGTAGTTTTTAGCTTATTAGTTTTAGTTTTAGTTTTAGTCCTGTTTCCTTTTAGACTTTTCATTTAAGTTTTATTTATTTATTTATTTATTTATTATTATTATTATTATTATTATTAATTTATTATTATTATTATTAGGAAAATTTGATTCTAATAATCCCACCTTTAACCGGTTTGCCGCTAATAATCCCACCTTTGGGGGGTATTCTCTTCTAATGGTCCCTTATGACCAGTAACTTGTTGTTTGGGTAAGTTTTTTTTTTTTTTGGCCACCATGAGGTAAGAAAAAATATTATTTTTTTATTTTGGTTTTCAAAACGATAAGGAAGAAGGAAAGGGGAAAAAAATTGCTTTTTAAATTTTTTTTTAAAAGAAATATAAAAATATTTTAAAAAGAAAAAAAAAAATCCTTGGCCACCAGGTGGTAAGGAAAAAAATTAATTTTTTTATTTTTGTTTTCAAAACGATAAGGAAGAAGGAAAGGAAAAAAAATTTCTTTTTAATTTTTTTTTAAAAGAAATATAAAAAATATTTAAAAAAAAAAAAAAAAAAAATCCTTGGCCACCAGGTGGTAAGGAAAAAAATTAATTTTTTTATTTTTGTTTTCAAAACGATAAGGAAGAAGGAAAGGGAAAAAAAATTAATTTTTAAATTTTTTTTTACAAGAAATATAAAAAATATATATATATTTTTTAAAAGAAATATAAAAAAATATATTTTTTTTTAAAAAAAAAAATTCCTTCGCCACCAGGAGGTAAGAAAAAAAAAATAATTTTTTTATTTTTGTTTTCAAAACGATAAGGAAGAAGGAAAAGGGAAAAAAATTACTTTTTTAATTTTTTTTTAAAAGAAATATAAAAAAATATTTCGACGAATCACAAAGTGACACGTGGCATATTAACCCATTACACCGGTCACCAACAGGTTAGGGACCATTAGATGAGAATTCCCCCTAAAGGTGGGATTATTAGATACTAATCAAAAGGTGGGATTATTAGCAGCGAACCGGCCAAATGTGGGATTATTAAATCAAATTTCCCTTATTATTATTATTATTATTATTATTATACTTATTATTATTATTATTATTATTATTATTATTATTATTATTTTGTTTTCGTGTTTATTTATATTATTGTTTTTATTATGCTTTGTTTAATTGCTTAATTAATTAGTTTTAGATTTAATTATGCGTGAGTAGTTTATTTCTAGGATTCTTGGGGATCCGTAAACAATATGAAGGGAAGATTTATTATTATTGATTGTTGGTGTGTTGAATTAATTTCCTATTGATTGATATAATGCTATGCAATTAGATTAGTGTTGGTTTAATTGTATGAGTTATGCAATATATTGATTCGAGATTTGATAGATGAGAATTGGTATTAAGGCTTAGTTCAATAGGCAGATTGATTTATACATGGTTAAGTCAAGATTCAAGAGATGCGATTTAATACCGCAGGTTAATTCTGTGGTTATAATACGTACCGAAAGCCCTTTATAATCTGGTTAATTTATGCATTGATAATTGATTGGTATCCTTCATTTCGGAATATTATTATTAGTGAACCTATGCCCTAAGCTTTTATTTTATTGATATTCTCTTAGTTTACTTATTTCTCTTAGATTAACTGATACAAATCATACTTGTTACTTGATAATTTAGATTATAAAAATTTATTAGGAATAAAAGAACATTGTTTTTCTGTGATTCGACCCTACTTCCCTATCTATTTTTGTTAGTGGTTTTAGGAATTACTTTTGATTAGGTGATACGACTAGAGCCTATCATTTGCCAGCTCGTGTTTAAAAATTAAACAAGTATATGAAAAGTAAAAGAAAGGAAAAACAGATGGTTACCTTTGTCCGAGCTGAAAGATTGAAAACTATAAAAGTTTGAAGATTTTGATGGTCAAATCACCAATATAAAGGGTTGATTGGAAAACTCAAAGAAACGCACGGAAAACTCAAACGCACGGCGGAGCTCTTGAAGACGGATGAAGAAATTCACTTTCTCTCTCTAAAAACTCTGACTTTCTCAAGAAAACACAAAAATACAAAGTGTTTTCATGAAGTCAAACAAGTCCTATATATAGGTAAATTTATGGGGGTAAAATGGTAAAACCACTTTTCCCGCAAGAAGAACAAACGTCTCCTTTTCAAAATATCTAACGAAGAAGCTCTAATGGTTATTAGGCCACTCCTTCAATAATGGCGAAGAATGCGAAAAGTTATTAAGACGGTTCATCAAAAGAAACGACCACCTCACCAATCTTAACCGCTAAGCTCGAAAAAAGGGGGAGATAGGGTTCCCGCTTGATAATAGGCGGCATGCCAAGTCCGACTAGACTTAAGTGGGTACCCTATTGGAAATGGAGCGGACGCCTGAAGGCGACCAGTCCTAATAAATGTGCTTTCTAAAACCGGACGGACTCAGAGTTCGCCTAGCCTTATGATTAAAAATGGCCTACCAAGTATTTGAAGAAAAGTGTACGAATGCCATTTCAAAGGAGGCGGCATGTGATGGTCGTGTCACCCCCTCTGAGGGGAAAATGTTGAGGGTAAAAATACCCCGCCACATGGTCTAATCCTAAAGTGACACGTGGCCCAATAAATGGGCAACACGTGTCCCAATAAGAATATGACACGTGGCAGTCATAAGACACTTCAGAAGGGTAAAAAGACAACTATCACATCATGCCCAATAACCGAGAGAGACGTCAAAACGGCGCCCCCAAATGACAAGTGTCCACACCTGATTGCGCAGCTAATCAGCGTCCACCATTCTAGGTCATAACCCTAGGAGGGCACACATTCCACCCCTATAAATACCCCAATCATTTATGATGGGAGGGGTGGATTGAGACATTGCATTCAAGGCATTATTAATTGTTGATTGCTCTAACTTCTCTCCACTTTTTCTCTCTAAAACCCTCCGTTTTCCCGTTACTAACTTAATCGTCGCAGGCAAATATTCCGATTACGAAATATTCGTTGTTTTGCAGGTGTCAATGGCCGTCCAAATGTTATTGAAAATCTGTATCCCGAGGGAATCCCAACAAACCCTAAAACAAGACCCCTCCCAGACTTAAATTGCTCCGACGCCTCCCCATTTATCACAACCGCATGTGAGACAAAAGAGACACACCTCATCACCAAATTAATCCAAAAGGTTCGAAACCAAATTTCTCCATTACCCCCCAAGGTTGCATCAATTGAATCTGGGTTCATTGATGTAAAAAGCCCCATGAAATACTTAATTGTAGCTGCTGAATTTCATCATGCTCATTATTCCACTCACCAATCTCCTTCCGTATCCCATGAATAGCGTTTCTTCTTCGTCTACCAGAGGCCTTCATTTAAAAAAAAAAAAAAAATTGTGTTTTGATCACCCTATTTCAAATTTGATACTCTCAAAATCGTTGTCTTCACATTGTTTCTTCTAACCCCAATAAAACATTAGTCTCCTTACATACATTCTTCCTCTCCTACACATTTTTGTAAGTTGGCTCACAACCATCTATGTTAGCTAATTTTTACTGAGCCAACTTAATTTTCTTGTTCAAGCTCCCAAACCCCCTCCTACTACAACTCTGAAATGCTTCACTACACCGCTTGATTTTCACTAACATGTCATTAGGCTTAGCCCAAATTTGAAAATAAAAGCCAATAATCACAATCCGTATAAAATTATTGAGTTAGATGGGAAAACAAGTTAAGACGAGATCTCAATCAAACAATAAATCTCAGATTGGATTCAGTTTGACCAAATAGCATAAATAGGAAGAAAATCTCAATCAAAACCTATTTATTTTAGTTTAGGTTATCGAAACGAGTCATCTTTTGCTAGCTTTAATCACTAGCAGCACAACGTAGAGTTGGGCATTGTGCCGTGCCGGGCTGCCGCGGGTCGTGTCTCGCCGTGCCAAGAGGTGGGTCGTGCCGTGCCGGGCCGGGCCTAGATGATGGCAGGCTATGTCGGGGCGGGCCACCAAATGGCACACCCCAGCCCACGGCACGGCCCACGTGCTAGGCGGGCCGGGCTGTAGGCCAGGCCCATTATTTTTATTATTAATTAAATAATTTTATTATTAATTAATTTTAATATTTTTATTATTTTTATTTTTATTATTTATAGTTCTTTATATTATTATGGTTCTTTTTATTATTTTTATTTTTATTATTTTTATTTTTATTATTCTTATTTTTATTATTTATAGTTTTTTTTAATTATTTTTACTATTATGGGTCGTGCTGGCGGGCCAAAAGTTCTTGCCGCCTATGGGCTTGTGTCAGGTTCGCGCCGAATTTTATTTTTTTTGTTCACGGCACGGCTCACGGCCCACCCCTCGTTCTTTGTGCCGTGCCGTGGCGCTAGCGGACTCGTGCCATGTCGAGCCGCTACCGTGCCGCCCGCAGGCTGGCCTGGCCCGGCCCATGCTCAGCTGCACAAGCAATAACAACAATGAATCATTACGATGCTAACAGGTAGCAACTATAACATGCACTCACAAAAGGGACAGAGGTTTGGGGCAAAAAGAGAGGTTTGAGGCAAAGGCTAGTTGCTAGAAATAGCTAAGAGTTTGGGGCAAAATAATGCAAAAATAAGTAGGAAAAACTGTCAAAAATAAATTGACTTTTTAACTATTTCAAAATAAAACGACATAGACATTTGCTCAAAATAGAATAAAATCTAAATGGAGGCAGCTCGGTAAAAAAAAAAAAAAAAAGGTACCAAATCAAAACTTGCAATCCATAAAATTCGATTTTAGGTCCCGTCTTTACCTTTTTGCACTATCATTTCAAACCCTCTTCTAATTTCACCCAAAAAAAAAAAAAAAACAAAAAAAAACACTGAAGCTCCCAACAATGGCGGCAACCCAAATCCCAGCACCAAAATCATCTCTCACCTCCCTCCTCAATCTCCTCCCATTATTCTTCAAAAACAACAAATTCAGCGATGCAAAATCCCATTTACTCACTTTCATCGCCTCCGATTCTCAACACACTCTTCACCACCATCTCCTTCACCCTTCTTCCCACCATCCTCCGCCCACCAAAGCCCTTTTCGACACCGCAATCTCCGCCTACTGTCAGTCAGGAAAACCCCATTTTGCCCTTCAAATCTTCAAGAAGATGAAGCGTCTCAAGCTCAAGCCTAAGCTCCTCACTTGCAATACTTTGCTCAATTCATTGGTAAAATACCCATCTTCTCATTCTATTTCAAGTTGTAGAGATTTGTTTGATGATATGGCTCGAATTCGGGTTGCCCCAAATGTTGTTACTTTTAATATTTTGATTAATGGGTATTGTTCGGAATTTCGATTTAAGGATGCTATGGAAGTTTTAAGGATTATGTCTGATTTTGATTGTATTCCTGATAATGTTACTTATAATACTATTTTGGATGCATTGTGTAAGAAAGGTAGGTTGAATGATGTTAGAGAATTGTTGTCTGATATGAAGGATAAAGGGTTGATTCCTAATAAGAATACTTATAATATTTTGATTAATGGGTATTGTAAGATGGGGTGGTTGAAGGAGGCGGCACAGGTTATCGATTTGATGACACATAATAATTTGTTGCCTGATGTTTGGACTTATAATATGTTGATTAATGGGTTGTGTAGTGATGGGAAGATTGACGAGGGTTTGAGGAAGAGAGATGAGATGGAGAAGTTGAAGTTGACGCCGGATGTTGTTACATATAATACTTTGATAAATGGGTGTCTCAAGTTTAGGGATACTAACGAGGCTTTTGCGTTGTTGGATGAAATGAGGGATAAGGGAGTGGGGAAGAATGTGGTTACTTATAACATAATTATCAAGTGGTTTTGTGATCAAAAGAAGATTGGAGAGGCAACGAATGCGCTTAAAGAGATGGAAGAGAGTGGAGTTTCACCAGATTGTGTGACTTATAATACTATAATTAATGCATATTGCAAGATGGGGAACTTTGGAGAAGCTTTTAAGGTGATGAGTCAGATGGGTAGGAAAGGCTTGAAGATGGATATATTTACATTGAATATGTTTCTTCACACTCTTTGTGAGGACAAGAGGCTTGATGAGGCGCATGAGCTACTCAATAGTGCCATTAGGCGGGGTTATGTGCTTGATGAAGTGAGTTATGGTACTCTGATTACAGGGTACTTTAAGGATGAAAAGGAGGAGAGGGCTTTAAAGGTTTGGGAGGAGATGAAAGAGAAAGGGGTCATCCCAAGTGTTGCCACTTATAATTCTTTAATTGCTGGGTTCTGCAAGTCAGGAAAAACTGACCAAGCAATCGGAAAGTTGAATGAACTTATGGAGAGTGGATTGTTCCCAGATGAGACTACATACAACACCATCATCCATGGTTACTGCTGGGAGGGTAAAGTAGAGAAAGCATTTCAGTTTCACAACAAAATGGTGGAGAATGCATTTAAGCCTAATGTGTACACATGTAATATTCTTCTGCGTGGTCTTTGCTCTGATGGGATGCTTGAAAAAGCTATCAAGCTTTTCCATACTTGGGTTTCAAAAGGCAAAGAAGTTGATGCAGTTACCTACAATACATTGATAACAAGTCTGTGTAAGGATGGAAGACTTGAAGATGCTTTAAACCTTGTGGAGGACATGATGGAAAATAATGTAGGACCAGATAAGTACACCTACAATGCCATTTTCAATGCTCTTGCCAGTGCAGGGAGAACAATAGAAGCAGAAAAATTTAGGGAAACAATGCTTCAATCTGGAAAGTTGCAGGATCAATGCTCACAGCTTGAAAAGGTCGTATCAGTTGAGACTGATGTGGTGACGGCAGAGCCAATCTCATGTGCTGAAGACTTTTCAAAAAGGATAAATGAACTGTGCATGGAAGGTCGGTACAGGGAAGCAATGGACATATATCAAGAGGCTAGCCATAAAGGAGTAGCTGTAAATAAGACAACTTATTTCACTCTGATTGAGGGGCTCCTTAAGAGAAGAAAGTCCATATCAAAAGAAGCTCATTGACATCTGGTTCTATGATGGGTTCTCATGACCTAATTACTTCCATGGGATAGATGGATTTAGATTTGACTGAATCAGAACCCACCTGAGGTACTTACTGCAGAAACTGCAAACATATTGTTTTTCCTTCACTTATTTGCATATAAGTTTGTGTTTGGATCTTGGTGCTCATAATAACGGAAGCGTTTTTTAAGTGACTTCCTGCCCAATGTGAAACTCTTACATCTGTCAGTATCCACACTACAGATAGCAGTTTGTCTTGCAGGTGTGTAGCTGTTTTTTGTCAACTGTGTGTTTTTATGCAACATTAAATCCAGTTTAAGCATGTGAATTTTGATTTGGTCAGAAACCATTGTGGCTGAACACTTATTAAGCCATCGGATGATTAAAAATATAATGATTGTAGTGTCTTAACACTTTTGCACGGGTTTTCAGTAGTGCCTCGGGCAATAGGGTCCTGGAGGTGAAGGCATATGCTTAGGAGCGATGCATACATTTCTTTTGTAAAATGTAGTCCTACCTAAAAAATATGGAATATGGAGTATTTTACAAACAAATGAAATTCCGTTTTGATAAATTCTATGATTGACTGAACTTTTCATAGTTGTGTATCATAATACTATATCTCTATATCAGACATATTACGGAAAATGAATTTCTTTTAATGAGAATTTTCTATTAAAAATAAAAGCTTGGTGCAATTTAATAGGCGACTCATGCCCTATGCGACTTAAGAGCCTTCAGCCTTGTGGTACCCTGGTGGTCATCATTCCCTCAGTCTCGTGCCTCAATGCCAAACCTTTCCACATGTTAATGCACTGCATGAGTGCATGTCATATATGTATTCTTATAGTTTTATCTTCTAATATGTAATGTTGCTGTTCTACGTGAATTGTGTGATGGCGGTGGTGGTTGGTTGCACACTTGCACTTGCACTCCATTTATTCTGGTGAGTAGTTTTGAGAGGAGATAGAAAGAGGGAGCGTCATTTAAGGTCATGTGAACAGTCAATGATAGATTTTAGGTCAACATTTGTTTTTCGGCCATAGATGTTACTTAACAACATAAATTTTTTAGAAGGTGGTTAATTACCATATATTTTTTCAATGGTGGTTTCCGCAAAAACTGGAATTTAAAAGGTGGTTTTTGACAAAATTTCCAACTGTGACATTTGAATGTTTTTATATGGTATTTCTGGTTATTTATCATCAGTGAGTTTGATACTTTGATTGTTTATGCTGGCATTTTGCTGATGATAAATTCATATTAATCGCCCTTTCATTCCCCATTCACACTGAGGTTGCAATAGTAGAAAAAAAATGTCAAATGTCTTGTGATAAATGCACTGATTCTTTAACGGTGCATTTGAAACTGCAAGTTTTTATTTTTTATTTTTTATTTTTTTACAAAACAATAACACTCAAATACTCTGGTATTAAACTAACCAATGCCTTTGAATCTATTTTTTTTTTTTAATTCTTTTAATTCACCCCTATCTCCCTCTTCTTTCTGTCTCTTTCTTTTTATCTATTGTCCATGCCTCTCTCATTTTTTCATCCCTTTCTCTATCTCTCCTCACACATCTTCACCCTATTCCCTATCTTTCATCTCACCCCCACACCATCTTCTATCTCGACTCTGGCACTGCGAAGAAGGAGCTCCGGATGTTCTCTGGTTGTCTTTAGGTCATGAGTGGATTGAGATGTGTTGTGGCCTTGTTGGTGTTGTTGTGTAGTTTAGTGTGCTTTATTTCTGATAGATTAACTCTGTTTAGGAAATCTTTATATGATTTTTCTGATTGGATTTGGTTCAGAAGTATCATTTAATTTAGACAGCACATGTTCTATTTCAAGGCAGTATAGAGTCTTTCCTTCAGAGCTAAATTGCCTAGTCTGCAGGGGTTCTCTGGGACTTAAGGTAGATCTCCAGTCATAAGCAAGACCTGCCCTGCTTAATATAACGAAGCCTTTATTATACTTCCTCCGTTTTTTATTAGATGCATCACTTTCGGTATATGGAGGTTTCAATTTAGATGCATCACTTTCCCTTTTAGTCAATAAATTCTCTCTATCTCTCTCATATCACATGACCCTCTTTATTTTTGCTCTCTATCTCTCTCTACTCCAAAAATTATCTAGGAGTCCGCAATTTTAAAAAATAATGCATCTAATAAAAAATGGAGGAAGTAATTAAATGAATTATCTGATGGTATTGGCTGTTCTTGTTTCTTTCCTCTTTGGTAAATAAATTGAAGTCTGAGTATAGCACTCTAATCCATTTCACCTGTGAGTGGAATTTTTTTCAGACTACAGGGACCTCTATGATTTAATGGCCAGATAAACTATGAAATGCTTACCGTTTTGGAAGCTGGCTCTAGAGAGATTCTGGCACTAGTGGTGATGCCAGACTGTCCCAGTGTCCCAAGAATGCCATAAAATTAAATAGGTCAGCATTCTGTTTTGCTGAGCTGAACAGTTCACTATATCTCCTTTGGCACCCATGAAAACATTAAATCATTTATAAAAATTGGCCTTAAATATTTTCCTGCTTTATTGTGCACTTGTTTAATAAATGTCATGCTAAAATAATAGTATGCCTGATTTAATTCATGCAGTATTCTAGTATTTACTTCCTAATATCTCCAAGTAGAGCAATGACTTGATAAACTTACTAGTGACAACTTCCAGCGAATGAACATCTCTGAATGCTTGTCCAGCAATCCCGACTTTTGATAGGATTCCTTGATGGTCAAATAAAAGTAATCGGTCCATGCCATTTTGGGCAGCACGTGTAGGGGGTTGTAGAGGGTTGTGTGTTGCTTGCAGGGCTGCTGGATAGTATGCTTGATTGCTAGCTTGTGTTATAGGCTGGTCTACAGGGGACTTTTTTCTTTCTTACTTCTGGTCGGTGTGTATCTTGAAAGTGTGCATTTCTTGTTGAATGTAATATGATGTTTCTGTAATTAGGAGCTTGCGCTGTTTACTACAGAGTAACATTGAGAAATATTAGGCAAATTTGTTTTGTAGTACCAGGTTTTTTGTAGGGTTTGTGAGCAACATTGGAATTTATTTTTTTTCGAAACTTGAAATTAACGAAAGTATTATAAACATCTTAGCTCCATTTTCTGGTGAGAGTCAAATTTCCTACCATTGACTTTGTGTTTTTCTGAATTTTTTTTCCCTGAACTTAATTTGTTGTGAATGTATCTAAACTTATTTTTTGCAATAGGAAAAAATAAGATGAATGAACAGGCCCTAAGTTGTGACATCTCCCATCTTATTGAACATTTATGTCTGTTATTTCAGCTATAACTACCTATGACATCTTTGACGCGTTAGAAAATTTAAAAGCTGCATCAGGATCAAGATTTCTACCCATAATCCCTCAAGATCAATTTCTTTTGTGTTTTAATTCTAGTCAAATGAAACTGTAACTATCATGTTTAGCCTTATGTACCCAAGAAATTATTTGGATTTCAATATCTGCAGCTGCAAAAAATATTGATGCCTAGGTTCAGAACTTTGATAAAATCATAATAGTGGACTGGGTTTACTCTTTAGTTATCCCTTGTAGTAAGAAACTGTAATCTTTACCTCTGAATCTCTTATTAATTTGCTCTTAAATGTCTCTTAATGTATATTTTCTAGATGCTGCAAAATCTGCTGGATGTAACAGATAACAGTGACCTGTCTAGTGTGCTTTGAAATATGTAACTTACTCTGGATTTGTGGAGTTGCACGTAGAGCAAGGCCTATTTTGGAAGCTGAAGGTGCACATTTCCTGTAAAATGTGATGCCCTAACAGAACTTGAAAATGCTGTGCTGCTGGTGCTATTGCATGCTGCCACCATTGCTGCTGCTGCCGCTGCACACTGTCATTGTCTTCCACATTATCAGTGCCAGTACTGAAACTTCTGATGCTGCCGTCTCTTGGGGAGACCAACACGCACTCTTTGGAGGAAGGATGCCACCGATTTTTGAGCATTGGAAGAAATGCTACCACCCACTCCCCATCCCCCCCACACAAACAACCCGCCCTTGGTGATCATCAAACCCGCATTATGGGCACAAGAGATGGAAATGCCAACCACTGGGCTACCACTCCAAGCAATGATAAATATGTTGCACATATTACTGCTTTCGATAATGTACATATCACTGAAAAAATTTCTATAGCGTACTTTCTCTAATTTAAACAATTTGTTATGTCGTCCAAACTCATTATGGAGTAACAAAGATAAAGACATGATCATACAAAAGGATGAATTTCTGTCTTATCTTTTCAATAGTGATATATAACATATATAGCGACATTTAATCATGAATTATAACTACATTTAGAAATGTATGGTTTTTTTTTTAAAAAAAAATAAATATCATATGATGGGATATGTGACCAACTGACCATTAATGACAAATGAAAATTAAAAATTTTGTTTTGTTTGGAACTTCTGATATGTGGTTATGTACACTCTTGTACAGAATTTGATACACTGAAAGTTACACATGAAATCATGAAGAGCTACAACCTAAAAGCTCCTAACTCATTCTACGCAATTAATTAGTCATTCTAGCTACAATTCTACAACACAAATTTGACCGGCGATTCAGTGTTATTCTAGCTTTTCAATCTTCAAAAGAGAGAAATTGAATGAGTTACAACACTATATCATGGACAAAAGATCAGTTTACAGTATCTGCACACATTCCACCAAAAGGTTATATATCCGTCTTCAAATTTGATGGATGAAAGCTGCGTGCTACTTACATGAAATCGACGTCCTAGGCATATGTAATAGAGCTTTTTTCACACACTAGCAGCAACAATAGAAAGGTGCCGGAAAAGAAAAACCGCACCACAGAATTCTTAATGCTTGATGGGTTGTAGAGTGGAATAAAGAAAAGAAGTACGCCGAACAAGAAGGTACATCCCATGCATAAAACCACATAGGATAGCCAAGGTACTGTCCTCAACACGACGAATATACCCATCATGAAGGCCAATGACATCATTACCAATGCGAAACCCAACAAGGGTAGTGCAAACTTGAGGGATACCAGGATTAGCTTAAGGTCACCTAAGTGTGCCCAAATGAGAATCACCACACATAAAACGGCACTGTATAATGCCGCTGTGTTGCATAATATAAATGCTTTGAACGGCCATCTGTCCGGCAAGACAGCCATGCCTATGTTCGGGTCATTGTCGGACTGGTTGTAACCTCCCGGAAGGGTGAATCCAGCTGCAAACGTAACAGTAGCTACTAGTGTGGCTACTAGCATGTGTGTGTCAACTCTTTTTTTGAAACCATCCAACTCTTTCACGCTATTTGCTTTGTTCTTTTGCTTTCTAACTCTTTGTAGTTGCTTGTAGCAGCCTTTTCTTATTGATTGTGAGCTTCGAGGTGCATCCACATATCTCAAGGCCATCCAAGTAAGTCTCTGCAATTTTATAGTGCAATGAATTGTGTTGTTAAAATGGATACAAGAAAGATAACAGCATTAACAAATTAAACAAAAATGCAAACTAACGTGGTTCACTATCAATTAGTTTGATTTTCCATGTCCAACATGCATAGGATGTATTATAACATAAGCTAGGCCAGGCAAAAAAGTACTTGGTTGATCCAAAACATAACTAGGCCCAACAAATCAGACTGTTTAGAAAATCACAACCCAATATAATAGATACAAAGTAATTAGTTTGTTAGTTCACTCTAAGCTCCATAATCACACCAGTTCCGGATAAAGTTAATGTTAATACCGATTATTGTAATGATTTAATTTCATATTTCGGATGTGTTAAAGTTAACTCCATATATGTTAAGATCAAATGTACACAAGAATAAATCACGTACACGTGACTACCTAAATAGTAAAGAGAAAAAAAGGAAGTAATTTTAATAATGACTACTACGTACTGTATGTTAGTAATATAAAAAATGGTTAATCGATAACATACCGCTTCAAACGTGGGAAATGAATCGACATGGACCTCAAAAATATCAAGAGCTGTTAACCCTTTCTTGTTCTGCAACTTAGTGTTGCATCTATTTTCCCTTGTCAAAATATAGACTGCCCTCGGATGGAGGCCTCTGGTAGCCAAATGCAAAGGAGTATTACCATCTTCGTCTTTAAGGTTGATGAGTCTAGCCAATTCGGGCATTTTGATGAGATACAATACTAGTTTGGACTTTCCATATTTAGCAGCCAAATGAAGAATACTTTGACCTTTTTTATTGAGCAAGTTTTTGGTCATGTGTAACTTCTGAATGACCTCTACATTACCACTACATGCTGCCTTGTGAATTGGAAAGGAGGCTTCTTTGTCACATTCATATGCAAATTTAGGGAATTTGTTGAGCAAGTATTGAACACCTTCAATGTGACCTTTAAATGCTGCATAAGATAGTGGTGATTGACCATCATCTTCCACTAATTTTATTAGTTCATTGTGATTGTCTAGTATCAACTTCAAAATATCTGTATAAATTCAAATTCAGGAGTTATATTGCGGATAAAAAACTAATTACTCGAGTGTATTTAAAAAGAAAAAGTAGCTTGTTTTACTTTTAAGAATATTGAGTGGAGTCATGCTGATTTTTTTGACCAAATAATCAGTAGATAACAGCAGTATTAGGAATTAAATAAATCTACAAGAAAGTTAACATGGTCAAAAGTGTTTGCCACTCTTATGTCTTTTTTTTTAATCCTTTTCGCTTTAAACAATAACAATCCACTCTGAAAATTATCATCACTATCCAACTTTCTTTCCTCTCTACTTAAGCCCTTTTTGACAAAACTCGCGATAGCAGGTAGATTTTAACTAGCAAATAACCAAATAGTTGTCAAGGTAATGAGTAGCTATCAATGAGTAGTTTATATCTTATTTGATTTGGGCACACTTAGTTAACTTACCTAAATAGAAAGATAATTGTAAAATGGTGGGAGCATATAACGAGTATTTGACTAAAGTTTTAGAATGGTACTGGTGAGAGTGCAAGACTATATAAAGTGGGATAAGTATTTGACCATACTTATCCCACTTTATCAGTGCTTTGAGTGATCCCAACTGTGCTGCTTTCGCCGCAGTATGAAACGCAAGATCACCCATGTTGTTAGTTTCCCTTATAATGTCTTTGGTTAATGGCAGAAGTTCGGTGATTAACTGAGACTGACCTGATCCTGCTGCAATGTGCAGCACAGAGTTTTCGTATTCCTTACATTTCAGCTTTTCCAAGCTAACTTGTGATTTTAACATATCATCGAGTTTTCCCTCGACGATTAGCTTGTACATGGTTGCATCAATTGGAGTAAAATCTGGTGCGACATCTTTGCGGCTTGCTGACTGGCTGCTGTCGTCGCTGTTGTTGCTGTCGCTGTCGCTGTCGTTGCTGTCGTCTGTGCGAGTGGGGGAGAGATTGTTGCAGTATATTGAACTCAGGGATTGAATGGTGTTATTCATGGAGGAAACTCCTTGAACTACACCAATATTATTACAATTGGGAGAACTCATTTTCAATGTTTTTTTTTTAATTTTTAGTTCTATGTTTTCCCTTTTTCTAAGCTTTTAAGAGAGTGAGAATTAATTCACATATTCAGGAACTATATAAGCTACTCTTGAGTTTAAAAAAGGGGATTCCACCTTACTTGGTTACTCCACATATAGACTTACTTTTCCCTAGACAATTTTTATACGCCAATTATTTATAGCAATACTTGCTTATTAGTGTTATACTGTTATTCCTTGTACCACCAAAATTTATAGGCCCACTTCACCAAATATGAGGCATCTACATGTCTTTCCAGGAAATGCACATCATTGTCAAAAAGGAAGGCGATCAATTTCAATATTGTTTCATATTTTATGTAACAAATGAGTTTAAATAGACTCCTAAACAACATTGGTTTGTGAGTGTTAAATAAAGATTATTGACTAAAATCTTCGTTACGATAGTTTAGCTTGTTGATTCCATTCAGCTCATGCTTTGGTTGAAAGAATATTGAAGAAACAGATTCATATAAGGTAAGATATGATGCCTAGCTAATAAGTTCAAATAAAATAAATTAAAATAAGAGGATATTATAGCTAATAAGTTCAGATAGGATAATATAAGAGCTAATAAGTTCAGATAGGATAATATAAGAGCTAATAAGTTCAAATAGGATAAAATACAAATAAGATTATAGTTGATAACTTTAGATAACATAAGGGCTAATAAGTTTAGATAAGATAAACTCATTATTAATATAATAATTTTGATCTTCTGTCAAAAACAAAATAATAATTTTGTTGAAGGGAGCCCTTACTTAATAATAGCTTCATTTTGTTACAAGTATACACCATAGTAGTAGTTGATTCTTCATTTTGGTACCCAAAAAGTAAATTGGAGAGCACTATTATAGTAAATTTTTTGACCTCTTGGTACAAGGACCAATTTGATTCAGAGTAGCTTCATCTTAGTACAAGTTGGTATTATAAACGTTCAATTTAATTTCCTAAAAAAATAAAAATAAATAAACGTTCAATTTGAAACAAAACAACTAGAAAGTTCTATTATCGATTAATAAGTCACATCTACCATAAAAGTTTTAATCCCTAAAATCCAATTAAAGCAGCAGTTAAATGATTGCAAGAATGTAACTCTTTGTTGTATAAGATATTCGCTGTCTAATTTGTCATCGACAAGGGAAGAGAAAGAGAGCGAGAGAGTTTACAGAGACTAGGGAGAACATTAAAACAGAGATCAGAGACAAAATTAACAAAAAAAATTACATAGCTTAATTGTACGTACGGAATATAAATTATACTGATTTATTCATTGTTTCTTTAAGATGAAAACCTACAATCTTAACCAAAGGAATACATACAAAAGGGAATAAAAAAGACATGTCCTACGTATGAAAATAACGCTATTGTAGGGGAAAATAAATCTATTCTTAACTTTCACAATCTCTATGAATGATTCACATAATAAATTCAATTTCATCTAAAATAATTTAGCCCTCCTAAGTAAGAGACAACATGTGTTTTTCTATAATAAGTTGCAAATTCAAGTAGGTTACGCTTTTTATCAAAACAATTTAGTACATTAGGGCAACTCAATATAAGCTTCTCGACTACATTAACATGTCCTCCAGTAATTGCTTTGTGAATAGGATATGTACCATCGTTGTCTTTTATCATTACATATTCTGGAAACTCTTGTACAATGTAGCAGATTTCATCGTAACAACCGTTGTACGCTCCATATGAAAGAGGCTTCCATCCTTTATTGTTTGGTGAGTCGATGAGCTCAGGAAGGCCCTCCATGATTGCCTTCAACACAGCTAAATGTACACACGGACGTAGAGTTGTTAGTTGTTACAAATTAAATAAAGTTGAAGGTACATATTTTAAACAACTAGGTAGTTGAAAAATCCACAATATAAAAAGTTTAGCATTTTCTTAGGAATTGAAATTTGAAGTACGATTTTATTTCCAATGAAAAACAAAATGCCTATAAAAATTCAATCCCCAAGCAAAACAATAGAAATTGAAATAGTAAGTAGAAATAAGGCTAGTGAGATGGTATTAGATCATATTCCCTTCCTCCATTTTGCTGGAAAAGTGAAAATAGAAACCATGTATATGGGTACTTTTTTGCTAGAGGAGAGGGATAGAGCGTAAGGGATTTATTAAATAAAATTGGACCCCACAAAGTGGATTTGTAAGTGATAAATATGAATAAATAATTGCCATAAAATCATTAACACTTAAAAAAACGAAGGAAAAACTAGTAAAGCTAACGGTCTTTTGAAACTCACCCAGGTTCCTCTTCTCAAGGGCAATATGTGCAATAGAAACGTTCTTGGCATGACTGAGAAGATGCTTTCTGATGGATCGATCTAAACCCATTCCGGTCATGGCCCTAACCAGATCCAAGTAACCCTTCTCTATAGCAAGGCACAGCGGCGATTCCCCTTGGTTGTTGGCTTTGTATGTGGCCCTTGGTGCTACCTTAACCATGTAAATCGCGGTGTTCTCTTTGTTACCATCGACAGCATAGTACAAAGGGGTGTTACCGTAACGGTCAACCCCAAGCAACAATTTCTTAAAACTATTTTCGCTTTGCATTAATTCATCAATCATCTTTAGTGCCTTGGTTTGACCATGATAAGCAGCCATATGTAACGCAGTGCAATCCGTGTTATCCTTGTACCGTATTATGTCTTGATAAGCGTCGTCTTCCATGATCTGTGCGATCACGCTTAGTTTACCTCTCGCAGCTGCCTTAAAGAGTCTAATCCACTCTTCTTCTTCTTCTTCTTCATCATCATCATCATCATCATCCGAAAGCCCCATTCTTACAAGACCCAATTGTATATCAGAAGGTAGAAAGAGTTGCTTGTGTCGCCCCACACGCTCCATTCGGATACACAAATCTTGATACCCAGCTTGTTGCGCTAGATCAAACGGCGTCTTTTCATCATTATTGAATTGGTATATGACACTCGGCTCATTCCTAGCTAGAAGAGTCGCGGCATCTAAATGGCCGTTCTTGAGAGCCAAATGCAAGGGCGTGTCACCTTCTGCATTCCCTTCGCATAATGCATCCCTCAATATCTTAACATGGTTGTTCATGTCAAGAAACTCCATCATCTTCGATATAGTAGTCTCATGTCCGGCTCGTGCCGCGACATGGAATGCTGTATCTCCAACAGCATCCCCAATTTGGATTAGGGTCGGATCTTTGGTGAGGATTTCCACAGCTTCATCTGCTCGGCCTTCTAAGGCCGCCTCGAGGAGTTCATCAGCCCCGTACACCACTTCATTGTCGTTGTTGTTGCTGCTGCTAGTAGCGTTTGCTTTTGCTTCATTAGACGCCATCAAATGAAGGGTACAATATAGTTGATACTCTTGTGTTTTTTGGATGAAAATTAAAGATAGTTGTTACTCGTTAAATCTTTGTTTTGTTAAGTTTTGTTTGTTTTTGGATGGGCTAATGTTAGTTATATGGAGTGTGATGTCAATAAACCGCGTGAGTTATGTGTAGAATAATGTATATATAGTTGACTCAAAATTCAACTAATCCAATTTGGACAGACACAAAGCTACATACTATTTTCATAATTTTATTATATTGGTGGATTCGCTTTACTATTCTCCGTAAATTTTGCGAAACCATGTGCCGGCTTGTGCCAACGTGCATGGCCAACAACCCATGTAACTTTTAGGAAAAACTGTACGAAATAATCTCATCTTAGAGGTATCTGCCTAAAATAATTTTACCTTTGGGTTATTTTTAAATAACCCGACCTTTATACTCAATCCGCTTTAAATGGTCCTTGTTATAACAAGTTACATGACACGTGTCGGCATCTGATTGCTAAAAAAAAATTATAAATCAATTTTTTTTAAAGAATAAAATAAAAAAAGTTATTTATTAATTAATTAAAATAACTACCCCCACCAGCCCAACCACCTTCCATGGCCGCACAACCCCACTTGCCCGACTCCCTGCCTAGCCACCAGCGCTGGAGCGTCGCACCAACACCCTCCCCTCCCACTCACCAACCATGCTAGAGAGTGCGATTCCAGACCCCTTCCCCCATCCAAATTCCGACCCCTTCCCCCTTCTCGGTGCTGATTACAGCACTCTCCCCTTCCCCCGTCTTGATTCCGGCCTCCTTCTCCTTCCCCCGCCCCGATTTCGAACTCCATCCCCTTTCCCCATCTCGATTTCAACAATTTCGGCCGCCAGTTAGCAGCAGCTTCAAGTGATGGGGTTGGGGCTGTATTAGGGGTGGCTGGGGCTGGGGGTTGCCGGTTTTTATTTTATTTTTTAAAATTTTAATTTTTTATTTTGCTAAATTCAATAATTAATATAATTTTAAATTTTTGATGAATCACGTTGTGACACGTGTATTTTAAACTCCAATTTTTTTTTTTTTTTACCTATTTAATAGGTTATTGGTCACCTAGGACTATTTAAAGCGGATTGGCATTAAAGGTCGGATTATTTAAAAATAACCCAAAGGTGGGATTATTTTGGGCGGACGCCCCAGATGTGGGATTATTTCGGACAATTTTGCCTAACTTTTATCCCTCCATTAGAATTATTGAAGACCACCTTTCAACCTAGATGGGAGGTTTGTTTCACACTACGAAAGGGTGGATGAGATGTAAACTCGTGATCTTCTTGTCACGATATCTGTTGATATCGTACCGAATTACTAACTTAATCAAATTTAAGCAGATGGTTAAAATCCAGACATTGATTATACAATTTATAGTATAGTAGTTTAAAGTAAAAGCTAAATGTTAAGATATTTTTATTAATATAACAAAATGAAAAGTATTAAGATCATTATAGAGCAAATGTAGTACTTTGGGGGAATTGGGGATGATGATTCTCTTACCTTTTATTTCTACCTGTTAAAGAGTCTTCCTTGCTAATTAATCAGAGTCGATTGTGATTGAGTTGATGGTGCGAGATTTTAGTCCAACAGGTCAGGTGCATGCCTTCTCTTTATCTAAAAAAAATCAAAATAATAATTACAATAATTTGACTACTAAAGAAATTACGAACTAATTAGATGTGACCAAGAGCCACAAATCTGATCTTGTCTTTGACACCAATTTTTTTTAGCTCATAATTATTACAATACGTCACAAGATGTTTATCAATGAGAATATTTCCATCATCTCTAGAAGATTGTCCCATGTATACTAAAATAAATATCATTTTCAAATTGTCTCATATCATGCGGCCGTTTTGGAAAATTTTCTTACTTATAACCTCATTGGCTCTCTCTACCTCTTTCATTGTCAATTAATGGTACTTATGTAAACTAAACTTAAAATAGTCCGAGACAAAATTTTAGAGATAGAGGGAGTATAAATTAAACTTGTGCATAACTATCAAAAGATGCAAAATGTACCAAGAAGCATGTTCTGCATCCAATTATGGAGTCCTTCAAATGTTCCATTAAACAACGACTAATAGTATACGTGGTATGACTATAGTAGCTAGGCATTTGACTAATATCACTAATTAGCTGTCATCACAGTGTTAACTGTACTCAATTTAGTTATTATATAGTGTTCATTAAAATATGACTTATAGATTTGGATATAATTGACTAAACCACTATTTTTCTGTACGTACCCAGTTGATACAATTATCAATAAAATCACTTAGACAGTTTAACTAATATATACAGGAAATTTTGTCTAAAATAACCCTAAAGATAAGGTCATTTATAAATAACTACCCTTTTTTTTTATTTTTTTTTATTTTATTTTATTTTATTTGTGTAGAACTACCCGCAAGTTATGAAATGTTTAGATATCACTACCCATTAACGTTTTCCGTCCAATTAAGATGTTACCGTGGCCCACTTTTTCACTTTTCCCACCTAATTAACTCCTCCCAATTACCTTCTTTTCTCCTCTCTCATCCCTAATTAATTTTCTTCATCGATTAAAACTTGCATCAATCCATTTGAAATTTTCTTCATCAAGTAACAACCTTCTGCCACTCAAGTATTTTTTCATCAATCCATTTGAAAAATTTGCATCCTCTTCTACCAGATGCAGCATCATAAAATTTACAAGCCAATAAGAATCTTCTCCCAAGGTTTGTTGTAGTCCATGATGTCTCCGATTTTGGTGGAATGCCACAATTGCACTTGTTTGGATGATATTGCAAAACAGAGTGGTATGAAGAATTAGACATCCTACCAAGTACAATGACCAATTAGTAATTAAAATGCAATTGAATTCAATCTCAGCTCAAAGCCAAAATAACCGAAACCCTGAACTCAATTGAACCCCCAAACCCTAGAAATCAAAACCCCCAAATTTATTTGAACCCATAAACCCCAATCCGAATCACTAATTTAAACCCTAATTATGTTAATTGCATTCAATTAAAACTTGTAAACAAATACAACAAACAATGAATTAAAAGAAAAGTGTGAAACATTACCTGAATTACTGAGAATTTGGGTTCAATTGCTTGATCATCTTCTCTCGAATTTTTTGAGTGAGAATGGAGGAAAAATTAATTAGGGAGTAGAGAGGAGGAGAGAAGGTAGTTGGGGGGAGTTAATTAGGTTGGAAAAGTGAAAAAAGTGGGCCCCAGTAACGTCTTAATTGGACGGAAAACGTTACTGGGTAGTGCTACTCAAACGTTTTCAAACATGCCGGTAGTTATAAACAAATAAAAAAATACGGGTAGTTGTTCACAAACGACCCTATCTTTAGGGTAGTTCTAGACAAAATTTTCATGTTTTTCTAAAACTACCCTAAAGATAGGGTCATTTGTGAACAACTACCCGTTTTTTTTATTTGTGTAGAATTACCCGCAAGTTATGAAACGTTTGGGTAGCACTACCCATTAATGTTTTCCGTCCAATTAAAATGTCCATGGCCCACTTTTCACTTTTCCCACCTAATTAACTCCCCCCAATTACCTTCTCTTCTCCTCTCTCCTCTCTCCTCCCTAATTAATTTTCTTCATCAATGAAAACTTGCATCAATCCATTTGAAAAATTTTCTTCATCAAGTAACAACCCTCTTCCACTTAAGTATTTCTTCATCAATCCATTTGAAAACTTTGCATCCTCTTCTACCAGATGTAGTATCATAGAATTTACAAGCCAAGAATCTTCTTCTAATGTTTGTTGTAGTCCATGATGTCTCCAATTCTGGTGGAATGCCACAATTACACTTGTTTGGATGATATTGCAAAGCAGAGTGGGATGAAGAATTAGACATCCTACCAATTACACTGACCAATTAGTAATTAAATTGCAATTGAATTCAATATCAAAGCCACAATAACCAAAACCCTGAACTCAATTGAACCCCCAAACCCTAGAAATCAAAACCTCCAAATTTATTTGAACCCATAAACCCTAATCTGAATCACTAATTTAAATCCTAATTATGTTAATTGCATTCAATTAAAACTTGTAAACAAATACAACAAACAATGAATTAAAAGAAAAGTGTGAAACATTACCTGGATTACTGAGAATTGACGTTCAATTGCTTGTTTATCTTCTCTCGAATTTTTTGAGTGAGAATGGAGGGAAAATTAACTAGGGAGGAGAGAGGAGGAGAGAATGTAGTTGGGGGGAGTTAATTAGGTGGGAAAAGTGAAAAAAGTGTGCCTCAGTAACGTCTTAATTGTACGGAAAACGTTATTGGGTAGTGCTATCCAAACGTTTTCAAATTTGCGGGTAGTTCTAAAAAAAAAAAAAAAAAAAAGGGGTAGTTGTTCACAAATGACCTATCTTTAGGGTAGTTGTAGAAAAAAATTTCAAACCTATATTTGGATGATAAAATTAGAATAACATTTAACACCAAATAATTTTTATATTTTTCTTTATCATGTAAAATAAATAGCCATCAACTATCAACCCCCACCCCTTCACCGGATCACCGATTGTGGACTACCGGTCACCTAACCACCACCACCTCCACCACCATCGACCCCCAACCTTCCAAAATGTAAGTATGGGGTGTGATACTAATAAACCTTGAGAGTCGTAAGTAGAGTACGTATAATTGGTTTAGTCAAAGTTCAACTAATCCTCATTTGACAAACTTAAGCTGCTATTTGTATAATATTATACTGGTTAGTGCCTAAAGTTGTTAGAAACCATTTGCGGTAGTGTGCCAATGTACACATCTAATGTGTCAGACAAACAATGAAACTTTGGTGTATTACTCTACTTATTATCAATTGATATTTTATACTCAGCCCTATATAAATTATAGAGGGATTATCCTAACCCATAATTATTGGTACCAAAAGGATGTATCACTAATTAGAGGGAGAAGTTCTATAATTTTTTAGTCTTTAACTTTTTGTCTAATTTAAACTATTGCAGCTGGTGGGGTGGTTCCTCAGTCTTAAACTTGGAGCACTAATTTATAGGGGTGTCAATTCGGGTAAACAGTTCGGGTTTAGGTTGGATTTATCAGTTTCGGATTATGACGGGTTGAAATTATTAGCGGGTTGGTTTTAAAAATCATCGGGTCAGTTCGGTTTGGTTTTTTTTTTTTTATATTTATTTTGGTTTCTAATCGGGTCGAGTTCTAATCGGGTCGGGTTGTAGTTGGTTCGGGTCATAATTAGTTTGGGTTAAACCGGACCAGTTTGAAAACGGGTTTAGTCAGTTTAAAGTGGGTTTCGGTTTAAAACGGTTCGAGTCCTAATCGGGTCGGGTTGTAATCGGTTTGGGTCACAATCAGTTTGGGTTAAACTGTGTCGGTTTGTAAATGGGTTTCGGTTCAAAACGATCGGGTGAAATCGGGTTCGGTCATTATCGGTTCAGGTCATAATCGGTTTGGATTGAACTTGGTTGATTCGAAAACGGGTTTACACAATTTAAAGTAGGTTTCAGTCCAAATCATATTGGGTTAAAATCAAGTCAGATCATTATCGAATCGAGTTAGTCAGATAATGGGTAGGAACAGGTCATGTTATAATAAAGTTAAGTCATAAATAAGTTAGGTTTATCAAGTAGTGGGTTGAAAAGGATCAAATCATAAACATATTGGGTTACAAGTTGTAAACGACTCAGTCATAGCAGGTTACCGGTCGTAAACGGTTCGATCTCAACGGGTTACGGGTCGTAAACAGTTCGGTCTCAACGGGTTAAGGGGTGGAAACGGTTCGGTCACAACGGGTTATGGGTTATAAATGGTTCAATCACAGCAAGTTACGGGTTAGACCGGTTCAGGTTTATCGCATTTTTGCCGGGTTTAAACGGTTTTCGGTTTAAAATGGGTCGGGTTACTATCGGGTTCAGATGTAATCGGTTCGGGTTGTAACGGTTTAGCTTGATAACGGGTCGGGTAAGTAACGGTTCACACAAATTCGGTTCAGTTCAGTTTCGGGTTAGAAAAAATTGGGTCGGGTCGGATTTCGATTTCCCAAAAATGGGTTTTTAACGGTTTAGTTCCTTTTCACATCGGTTCGAAATAGTCAGATTTAACGATTCTGGTTAGAAACTGACAGCTCTACTAATTTATATTGATTTCATTACACTAAGACCAAGACTTATAGATTAGGATGTCATTAACTTTAAACCTACCAATAAGATATTCCCAATTTATTATAATACTCATTAGATTGTGACTTATGTAGTACTCTAGAATCCGTATAATATTAAATCACAAATTTAGAGGAGAAAATAGAGATTAATTGGTAGGAGGGAGGAGAAAGTCAGAAAGGGTACATGAGGTAAACGGATAACTATGAAAGAATTTACAATATAGAAATATGTAGCCAAGAATAATTGAGAAATTTTATTTATTTTATTTTATTTTTAAAAAAAAAAAAAAACAAACAGATGAATATATAATTTGTTACAAATCGACCAATCACACAACTGCGCAGTGACTCACAAAAATAGTCTTTATGATGAAAATGCCGTGTTACACGAATAGTTGCATACAAGTATCACACAACTATGCAGTGACTCACAAAAATGGTCTTATAATAATAAGGTGGTGTTACACTAATGTTTCTTTATTCTTGTGTCGTATGATCCAATTATAAATGAACCATAAATTACATACAAAGGATTTAACAGTAGTTGGTTGAGCTCATTATATATACACTGGCAGATCTGAGTTAGTAGTAGTTTTCCCAAAAGTCGCAAGTTTAGTTAAACCTCATTCCCTGCTTCAAACATTACTAATTTTCTTCTGTACACAAATGGCTAACTTGTCAACTTTGCGTTGCGTTGCTGATACTCTTTTAACTGTGTTGCGAAGCTCCATGGTGAAAGAGGCGTGCTCCAAATGGGGCTTTGAGTCTGAATTGAAAGATCTCATTGATACAGTCTCGGCTGTAGGCAGTGTGCTACGTGATCTGGAGGCTAAGAAAGAACTTGTCATCGAAACACGAGAGTGTGTTCAGATGCTCAAGGATGCTGTTTATGATGCTGATGATTTGTTTGATGAGCTACTCACTGTGGCTGCTCAGACTAAGGGCCGCTTCCAACGTAATAATAAACTTCCTGATAAGGTACGCGATTTCTTTTCTGATAACAGAATGTCTCAGTGTGTTCAGAGTATAAGGAATCAGTTGGATGCTTTGGGTAGTGGCAGTACTTGTATTAGTCATAGCAATCTTGGGTTTAAAGTTGATTATCAACTTATTAAGGAGGGTGAGCGTGACATTCGTTCTTGTATAAATGCGAGAATGTGATTGTTGGGAGGAAGGATGACATGAATGCTGTCATAGATATGCTATAAGATACTAATTTAAAATATAATGTTTCTTTTATTACAATAGAGGGGGTTCGAGGATTGGGAAAAACTGCTCTTGCTCAACTTGTGTATAATGATCAAAGGGTTAGAGATGAGTTTCCATTGAGATTGTGGGTTCAAGTCTCGAATGGAGATGGAGGTAAACTCAACGCGAATGAGATTCTTGGGAAAATTTTAGAGGCTACTGGACGGTTTTATACAGAAATTGATGCTTTATTGAATATAGAACTTACAGCAGAGCTTAGCGGTAAGAAATACTTAATTGTTCTTGACGATGTTTGTGGTAAGGATCAGGAAGAGTGGGCTGCTGTAAGAAAGGTTTTAATGTTTAGTGTAGGGGGGAGTAGGATTATAGTTACTACATGCTCGACAGATACTACGGGGGCTATAGGGAGTGACCATACATACGAGTTGAAAGGTTTGTCCAAAGAGAATTCGTGGCGTTTGTTAGAGAAGACTGCTTTTGGGAAAGGGCAAAAACATGTAATCCATCCTGAAATAGTTGAGATGGTTGAAATGTGTGAGGGCTTTCCTCCTGCTATAAAAGAGCTTAGCAATCTATTATATAGTCAGGATTTAAGCAAGTTGTCTTTGTTTGAAGAGAATGCATTAGCCTCAATTGATGATAATGATGAAGATAATAGACCATTGACACATGAACTTAGCCCTGATAATCTAGAAACTCGATTGATGAAGAGTTGCTTAAGTTATTGTGCATTGTTCCCTAAGGATTTTATCATTGATAAAAAGATGTTGCTCGACCTCTGGATGGCACAAGGATATGTTGTGCCACTTGATGGTCAAAGCATGGTGGATGCTGCTGAGGAGTACTTTTCAATATTGTTACTCAGATGTTTGCTGCAACCTGTGAAATGGGATGAATATGGTGAGGTTGTGTCTTGTAAAGTTTATGGTCTTATGCACGATGTTGCTCTAGATATTGAGTGCAGGAGATATGTGTAGTGGACTCTATTGAGGATAACATGATCAACAATGTCCTACATTTACATCATATTGGAAGTGAATGTAGTGAAAGCACTTTTCCTCAGATTAAGCTCCGTTCATATATTCATGGCATTTTGATCGATCATTTCCACCCCTTGAAAATCTTGTATCAAGTTTGACATGTCTAAGGGCATTAGACTTGCATCAGTTAAATATTGAAACTTTGCCAGAACCGATAAGTAAATTACTGCATTTACGGTATCTTGATCTCTCTCATAATCATGTTAAAAGACTTCCAAATTCAATCACTAAACTACACAACCTGCAAACACTGAACTTAGATGATTGCACTAATTTAGAACAGTTCCCATGGGATATATATAAATTGGTGAACCTTAGGAGCTTAAATATTAATAATTGCTGTGGGATATGGTCAATGCCCACGGGCATGGATAAATTGACTTGTCTTCATGTTCTCACTGAGTTTCAAGCAGCAAATAAAAGAGAGCATAAGTGAGGAAGAAAGTTCTAGTGAGGATGACAACTCAAGTAGCAGTGAGCAAAATGTGGGCATGTTAAAAGATCTGAAAGCTCTCTCAAACCTGAGAGGCTCGATTAAAATCTCCATCCCTACAGAATATAAAGATGTCTATGACAATCAGAACCTAGTAGAAGGAAGTGGTGGATATTAAGGGAGCATGGAACATCTTAAGGAAGTATTGATATATTTTCAAGGTCCTGAGTATGGTGATGAATTAGCTATCAACCATGAAGATCTGCTAGAAAAATTGCTGCCTCGTCCTAATCTCAAAGGGGTGCAGCTGTGGGGTTATCAAGGTGCGAGTTTTACAAAATGGACATCCGGTCTCCCAAACCTTGTCAAGATAAAGATTGAATCTGCCAAAGGGTGCAGCATCTGTCATTGCTCAGCAAACTGCAGTACTTGAAATCACTGACAGTATCAAGTATGAGCAATTTGATGTATATGGAGACAATAAGAAGCAGTGATTATGCACAAGCACCATCAGAATTCACTTTCTTTCCTTCCCTTGAAGAGCTCAGCATAAGTTATAGTCCCAAGCTGAAAGGTTGGTGGGAAGGTGATCAACAGCTTGTTGATTCGGATGGTAGATGTTGGCAACCTTCTTTTAAGCGCCTTTTTGAATTGTCAATCTTGGTGTGCCCTAAACTAGAGTCATTTCCTCCATGTCCAAGTGTGAGAATACTGAGCTTGAGCAAACTTGATAAAAACTTTAAAATAATGGAGTTTAGGGATGGCAATGGTTACAGTCATTATCGCCCTTCAGCATTGAGAACGGTGGATGTTTTTGAGAATATTGGCTATCTTAAGTCACTGTCAATGAGCTCTGTCACAGGCATCAGCATTACATGGGATAAAAGAGTGGAGAGATTATCTGAAGTTAAGGAGGCATTCAGAAGCTGCTCTTCTTCTTTGCGTAGGCTTAAAATCAGAGGTTGTGACAACTTGAGGAGTGTTTCTGAAGGGTTAGAGTACCTCACTGTCCTAGAATCTCTGTCAATAATTGAATGTCCGGTTTTAACCTTCTCCGAGGAGGATGACAGCAATGGAGAAGATGGCATGCCTTGGGGAATCCCTTCATCAGAGCCTCCGTTTCTTAGAGTTATGGAAAGTTGAAAGCATGACCATTCTTCCTAGCGGGATGCAGTACTTGACCACCCTCCAAGACCTCACAATTGAATGTTGTTGGGAATTGAAGGACTTGCCAGAATGGATAGGCTGCTTATCTTCTCTTAAGTCCCTTCGGGTTAGGTGTTGTAGCGAATTCCAATCATTACCAGACACAATGCAGAATTTAACCTCTCTCAAGCTACTAGATCTGAATTATTGTAAGGAAGGCTTGAAGGAAAGATGTCAAAGTCCTAATGGGGAGGATTGGCATAAGATTAAACACATACCATCCATCATCATTTCTGAATAATCACGAAGGTGCCTTTTTTTCATCAACTCTCATTATATAACATCTTTGAGCATTTGAAGTTTTTAAACAGTAAAATTTGGGCTGTTACCATATTATTGTTCCATTTTGGCTTGAATTTTATTGTAATACTAGATATTCTAATTCGAGGCTTGTAATAAATCACAGCAAAATTTGATACATAACTCATGTTGTATTTCATGTACTGAATTGGTCATTATTTTGCTAGTCAGGGGAATTATTAGTCATTGTTGATATTGGCCTTTTATGTACTCAAAATTTATGATTGAGCTGTATTTGTCTTTTGCAATGGCAGTTAAGAGTTAAGAGTGGATTTTTGGCATTTTTATTGCATAAAGCAGTTAGAATTACGTACATCCTAGACTTTTTATAATGAAAACAATTAAAACTTGTGTTTCTGTTTATTGTTCATAAAGGGCTTTTGAGTACTCTGGAGCGTAAGAAGATTAAAAAGTTGGGTCAGTTGATATCAAAACAAGGTAAAATTCCTACCAAATTTTCTATCATTAGGCAGAACTTTTATACAGTATTCACAACATACAACATATAAGGTTTCTGAAAGTTGTAAAATTAGACTTGAATATGATCGATCAATTTACAGATTTGAGCTTATTTCAAAACTTATCGAGAATTTTAAAAGCTGCAATAACATATAGTAATATAACAGGGTTTTAGAGAACCAGAGTTTAAGAATTTCCTGCTATTGGGGTCCTTGGAGGCTTGGAGCAGGCATTTGAATCCCAAAGCAGCTCGAATGTTGAGGAGTTATCAGAAGTGATATTGTTCTGTTGGACTTTGATGGTACTGAATTTGTGTTAGATGTACTTGGAATGTTTGACGTTTATTATATTTCTTTCTAGTATGTGCACCAAGCACATTGATGATCTGAGTTTGTAAAATGGGTATAAGCCGCACCCAAAAATGAAAGTTTGTCCGAATAAAATCTAAGAGGAGATTACATCCCAATATCGATTTGCAATATAATGTAACTCAGGAAGGATATATGTACATATGCCTTGCTAAGTTGGTATCAGAGTATAGATTCTTGCATTAAAATAGTTTGCCAGTATTCATCACTTCTTCATTTAACAATACGAGTACGTTCTCATTACAATTGTACTTGTACCAGTTAATCAAAGCTTTTAGTAATCTAAACTGTGCTGCAGCTTTGTTTTGCAGCAGAATGTAATGCAGGATTGCCTAAATAAATTTGTTGGTCCACTTTATATTATTTATTTATTTCCTTACTCAATGGAAGAAGTTGAGTAATAAGTAGTGTTGACCCTTTTGGTTTTGATGGACAAACTGACAAACTTGACTAACAAGAGTTTTTAAGTCTTTGGTGAATAAAGGGTTCAAGCAAAGTTCGTTCCGAAGTAGGAACTTAATACAAAGGATGCGAAGTAGCATCAAAAGGCCTCATGCAATATCTTACGATCTAGTTATGAAATGTAAGCACTCAAAATATACGTCAGTTAGGAACTCGATGACTTACGTTATAAATAATGTTACTGGAATAAAATTGTTTTAAAAGGTTGATGATAAAATTGTTTTCAAATAGGTAGATTTATTTTTGGAAAAGATATTTTCAAATTAATATTATCTAAATAAATATTTCGAATAAAGATAATTAACTTAAGTTTATTATCCTATTTGTTTTTAAATAAATAAATATTTTAAATATCTTTTTCAAAATAATCGTTTTAAGAAAATCTTTTAAAACAGCCTAATTTGAAGAAGTCAAAGATAACGCTTCTTTTTGCATGAATATCTCAGTAAACTGTTTTTCAAGAACTATATTTTAGCAAAACTGATTATTACGTGGGGGTTGAGGAGAAGTTTGAGAAACTTCCATTACCTAGTCCACTGTCACGTTTCTCCATTACTAGATAGTGGGCGATGACATGCTAGTGGACAGTGTGGAAGTTGAGATCAAATTTCTCTATATAAACCACGAAGCTATTCATTGTAAAATACACCTCTTGATCTTCAATAATTCCAGTAAACAAAATAACGTAAGAGAGTTCTTAGTTGTTCTTGTATTCTTGAGTGTACTAGGTATTTGTAATTACAATTTGTAATCGAGTACTTGGGGTTTGGGATTGTGAGTTTTTGTAACGGTGAGGTTAAGGAAACTTCATAGACGAAGTCTTCTGTGAAAGTTGGGAACAAGTTCCAAACTTGTGGAACTTGTTACGGGTTTTAATTTTCACGTGTAAAGAGTTTAATTAATAGTGGAAATTTTCAAAAGCCCATATTATCTCTCTTTATTGTTCTTATTAGTTAAATACCGCAAAAAATTTTAAACTTCAAATATTCTACAATTCATCCCCTCTCTTGTAGAAGCCAGTTAGACTTTCAAGCAGAGCTTGGACTGCAGTAGCAGCACAGAATTTTCATCCTCCTTATATATCTACTCTTCAAAGCCAACTAGCTTAGAACTTTTGAAATGTACCATCTGATCTTCTTTTGTTGCTGTCCTAGTTTTTGTAAATATGGATATCGTTATGCATGCCATGATCAAACAAATTCCTTCAATATTTGCTTGAACATAAAGTCGTATATATAAACTCAAAAAATTATAAATAAGGCGATCGTACAATAAATATTTTAAAATGATTGTAAATACTCTTAAAATTAGGGTAGGAAAAACATAGATTCTATAATTGCGTAATAAACCGAATAATTTTCTTTTTCTTGCTCTAAAAGACAAGCTTTAATTACAATTTTTTTTCTTGTTACAAAGGATATGCTTTTATAACATAATAAAATTAACTTTAGGCACTTCCAGGAAGGCCAGGGTTAGTTGGGGTATGTAAACAAGAACCCAACACATCCAAGATTTTATAAAAGAGAAGATGAAAAAAAACATGATAAGAAATGATTATAATTCTAGTGTATAGATATATAATTCTAGTGTATAGGGAATTGCAAATTATACTATTACACCTTACTCAAAAGGCTAAATAGATATATAAAATGACGCATACTTATTATCATGCAAGTATGATCACCTCCAATAGTGTAAGTATACCAAGCATCATAAAATCACTCATAACATCCTTAACTTTTGGACCACCTGAGTAGGTATACCCTGTCACATATAAATTGCTGCTTGGAATGTAGTTGTAGTAACTTGGTGGTGGCGGCGAAGGTGTTTGCTGAAGCATGCAAGGGATGCATGGTGGCTCCATCTGAGGTGGCGGCGGTGGTGGTGATGGATCACACGGTGGAGGTGGAGGTGGTGGACATTCGGGAAGCGGAGGAGGTGGTGGAGGAAGGTATTCAGGGCAAGTGTCACACTTAATGCTTGGGTTTGGTAATGGTGTGTTTGAAGTTAATTCTTTTGTGGCTTTGCATGAAATTATGAATAAAAGGAGAAGTGCAAAAAAATGGACGTACAAATTTTGAATTGTTGAAATCATTTTTGTTTCACGTAAAAAAGGCTCTAAGGACTGAAGGAGCAGAATTAATTGAGAAGATGTTTTGGGTGTGTTTGTGATTTGTTAGGATGTTTAACTTCCAAAATATATATATATAGTGTGAATAAAGTCAAGTCATGACTAATAAATTTTACATGAAATATATAGTGTGAATAACGTCAAGTCATGACTAATAAAATATATAGTGTGAATTGATCAATTTATTATTTCTTATATTTTACATTAAAGTTCAAGTCATATTGATGTTTAATTAATGTTCTTTTGGGTATTAGGTAATTGTTTGGATATCTAATATAATATCAGATCACTAATAAATAAGGCCGGTCTCGCAGTCAGATTACGAGACAATGACACTTGGTATTTCAGTTTTTTGCTAAGTGTCGAGCCACGTAGGTGACAAATAGGTATTATTGTGACAAATATGATGCTAAGTAAGCGAATTTTAGATAGATTTTATAAGATAAAAATATTGTAAAGAGTTTTATTGTCTATATACTTCTAATATTTCTTATATACAAAATTAATCATAACTTTTAATATCATTCTATAACTCGGTTCTATTTTCATCATAAAATTCGTTTTGAAAAGTTCTTTAAAATAAAATCCATTTATTATATATTTAATTTATTTAAAAAAATAATACAGAATTAGTACAAAAATAACTTTTAATTAGTAAAAATAATTTTAATTTGGTAAAAATACTTTCACTTCAGTAAAAATAATTTAAATTTAGTAAAAATAGTTTCAATTCAACTATAACATAGGTATCCATTTACAAACAAAACTATAAAAGCTACACTATTGTATAAATAAACGATATGATATCGTATGTCTAAATATTATGCATTATCAAAAGAAATTATAGGATCGTATTTAACATTCAAGCTAAAAAGTTTATTCTAAAATTTATTATACAATATGGGCATCGTCCGGGCACAAAACTAGTTATATATATAAGAGGGAGTTTTTTCCCCAAGATTTTAGAGAGTCACGTAGGATTTTAATTTTCTTAAAATTATTAGAGCGCCATGCAGGATTAGTATTTTTAGAGCGTTACGTATAGGATTATGCAGGATTATTATTTTAAAGCGCTACGTAGGATTAAAATTAAAGATTAAAATTTATTATAAAAATAAAATATTATCTTTTAAAATTGAAAATTTTATTTAAGACAAAAGAAACAATTCATTTTATTTCGTATATATACAACAATATTATTAAACTTAAAAAATGAAATTCACAGTTCAATTGATTTTTTTTAAAAAAATTGGATTAGATAAAAAAAAATTAATGAAATATGAGAAGTGATTATAATGAATAATGAAATTCACGTTCAATTGATAAAAAAAAAAACTGGATTAGATAAAAAAAAAATTAATGAAATAAGAGAAGTGACTATAATAAAGTATATTTTTTTAAAATAATAATAATAAAAAAAAATATGAAATCACATTGAATTATAAAAAATATCAGTTTTGAATTAGATACAAAAAAAAAACAAAAAAAAAAAAAATCTTTGAAATTAAAAATATATCCTTTCTCTTTTTCCAGAAAAAAAAAATGTTCATCATTTATCATTTATTCGGCTAAAAGATTAAGTTTTACGTGCATAAAATTTATCATATCTAATAAACTTTATCACCACTTTAAATCAAATATTTTTTCAATCCTACATAAACTTATCTAATGTTCCATACAAATAAACGTAAAACTTTTGCAGGCAACGAAGCATAGTTTAGAATTTGAACACCATGAAATTCTTGAATACCATGAATAGTGATCATAAGTAAGAAGTCAGTCATAACTCATATAGTGTTAGTTTTGCAATTCAAGGGGGCAGGTTTAATTACACAACTTATCAAGTGACACGATCAACGATTAATTTATAAAGGATGATGGAAATCTGGAAGATTTAAAATTTGTTTGTATATGTGTGAACCTTAATTGTATAAGATTAAAAAGATAATAATATTATGTATTAATATTTTGTTATTCCTATTTAATATTAAATTTAACTATGAGTAAAACCCATACATTATATGGGTGTAAATCTAGTTCATATAATCTAGGAGTTGTAGAAATTTGTACATGTCCTGGGAAGTGGGATGTTTCTTAGAAATTATATAATTGTAACAACTAAAATATTAGCAATGTAATAATCTCAACATGCATGCCACATTAGAAATAGGAGCCTTTTGGAATTTTAAATAATTACTATCCTAGCTTGGACATCATTGCAATCTGCTGGCCTCTAATTATTTTTGTAATACAATTGGAATTATTGAAGTGAGTATTATATTATGGAGTATTAGTTTCAAATTGAATATTCAAGAATTGAAACTTATTTTTAATACTTGTAAGTAAAATTGGCTTTTACAAATTTAAATTAATCTAATTATAATTTAGTACACCTAATTTTACTTATTTTGCGCTAATTTTTGTTGAATAATATTTATATATAAAATCTCTTTTTTCTTGTAAGATGAACAAATTAAAATGAAGCCTATATACATTGGCCTTAGGCAGCTATTACTTGTATTTTTATTATTTTTTAATTATTTTTATAGGACTCTAAATGAATCTATGTATACACGAATAATTAATAGAATTTGGAAAGCCAATCAACACTTTCACTTTGTATTACTTTTTTAGTTAGTTAATGAAATTAAAATAGGGTTTTTCTATACAGTAATTCTCTTAGTTTCACTTTTTTACGTTGTACCACTTAATATAGCACTTTTCACACTGTAACCCGCAAAGTACATTTAGTTTCCATACAATAAACTTGCCGTTATCCCCCCGTTAACAAGTTGCGTTAGTGGAGGTCACTTTCCACTTATTAATATTTTTTTATCGATTTGCGTGTTGAAAAATGTTTCGTTAAAGATTTTGGAGGCTATTTAGGCCCTTAAGAATCCAATTGAGCTCAGATTTAGCAAAAAAAAAAACATAAATGCCTCGTTTGCATATTAAAAAATGTCTCAATTTGCGTGTTTACGTTTTGAATACGCAAAACGAGGCATTTACGTTACTTTTTTTGCTATATCTAAGCTCAATTTAGACCCTTAAGGACTAAAATAGCCCCCAAAACCTTTAACGGAATATTTTTCAACATGCAAGTCGATAAAAAAATATTAATAAGTGAAAATTGGACCCCACTAACGGAATTTGTTAACGGCAAGGTTACTGTATGGAAACTAAATGTACTTTACGGGTTACAGCGTGAAAAGTGCTATATAAAGAGGTACAAGCACAACGTAGAAAAGTGAAATTAAGAGGGTTACTTTATGGAAAAACCCATTAAAATAAATCAGGATAAGAATAGGTCATACAAATAGTAAATCAGTTCTTAATAAAAATTATTAAATACATACAAGTTGTAAACTTGTAACCTTCGTTTATACTACGTAACCTACTTCGTATGACATATTGCTTATATTATATCACACAAACAGCAAAAAGATAAGGAAAAAAACATAATCCTCAAGTACTAATCTTTTTTTTTACCTCAGATCAGGGTATTCATACAATCATATTAAGTCATACATGGTGAACTAGTATACGTCCTACCTAATAACACTAATTAAGGAGAAGATTTATTTTATAAACAATAAAATTAAGGAGATGACAAATAATTAAAAGATGTTTTGGTACCTTTAATAGCGTGTTGTTTGTCAATGGAAAGACGACTTGGGGTCAACCGTTCAACTCGTATTTGGATAATATAATGCTGCGGAGTATAAATTTAATAATTGGTAATTAAAGGACCAAGTTTGCTAGGGTGGTGTCGTGGTGATAGTGGAGGACTAATCTTGTAATTTGAAATTATAACTTCGAATCTCACTATCTACATTTTATTAGAAGGGGAAAATCGCTTACCTCTCCCTTACTCTCAAGCGTCGACTTTTGTAGATGGGTTGACTAACTTGTGAGAGGACTGTTCTGTAGATTTTGTTAAGTTCTGTTAGGTAGCTAGGGTGGTGTCGTGGTGATACTCACATGCATGGCAGCCTTGCTAGCCGTATTACCCTAGCCCTCGAATGGCTCGGCCATTCCGAGGCTAGGGCTATACATTGTGACTTGTCGTTTGACTGATTTTTCCGTCTCGTCGTTTCCTAAATTCGACTCGACTTACGACGCTCGATTTCGACGCTCTAAGCTCGGAATCCGACGTCTTTGTTCGTAAAAACAACTCATTTAATCCTTCGGATTAATTCGTCGCTTCGGTTCGGTTACACGATTGGGTGTGACCCGAAGGGTTCAGTCAAGATTAAGCTGTAATATTAATTAATTATTAATATTACTGATCGGAAGCGGCCTCCAGCTAGGCATTCCGATCACTTGACCTAACTGAATAATTAGCTTTCTAATTAATTCTGAACCATCTATCAGAATAATACACCTTTCAATCTCCTACTTGTCCTTCCAGACAAGTGTGCTAATTGTGTATAGCCTATTTCCTATGTCACTTAATGTCTCTTCATGAACTATAAGGTAAGATTCTTTGTCATTCTTATTACGTCCAGAAGTGTTTCTCGATTTCCGAGTTCGACTATCAATAACCAGATGATTTCTAAAATCCATTTGAGCATGGCCATGCATTTTCACAGTCTCGTTCTTCGAGAGATCTTTTTAACAACAAAGACATGTTCCCTACTGTTAATAGGGGGACATTTCCAGTCTTGCATTGTCAGCTTCCCTTACTAAGAGGCCCTAGCGGCCCAACTGTTGCCTTTATAATCCCCTTGTACGGCAGACATTTGACAACATCAAAGCGGACTAGTACTCAAATAAGAGAACTAACAATACTCATGGTCGAGGAAAAAGAGGTTCCGATAGCCATAATGAGTAATATACTTATTGTTTTGGGGTTTTTGGATGTCCTGCTGGAGAGTTACAATTCCAAGGCTGACCTCTGGACGCCTGCACCTGCAAAACAACGGAGACTCCTGTGGGTGGGAGTTCTTCCTCCGAAAATCAAG